GTCCTTGCTTAATGCTGACTTGTGTATACAGTAAAACAAGAGAAGCACAAAGCCTGCTGAATTTTATTCAAGATCCTAACTAGAGCTCTGTGTCATTAGAAAGGCAAAGAAATGTGCAAGATCACAGCTTGCCCCTGCATGTAGTTATATCCAGTGCTCTATAAGCTTAAGACCGACCAAGGACGATACTCAGAAAAAGGGAGTCTCCATCTGGACGTCTTCATCCAGATAAGTTGAATTGTTTTGCAGTCCTAGGGGCAACAGCTCTTCGACTTACCACATCCTAGCAAGTGCAGACAGCTTCTAGGGAAGAAAATAAAACCATCTTTGCAGTTTGATAAACCAAATAGGAAACACCTATATTTTCAGAGAAGAAAAGTAGTAGTGATTAGCCTGGACGTCTTGGTTTTTGGTTTTAAAGGATTACGTCTTTCCAAGTTTCACCATATCAGGGGTCGGGAGCCTACTGCCTGCAGGCAAGCTGTAGTTTGCAGTTTTACAGCCCACAGCCACATCAATATATGTCAATACAGGCAACAATGCGATGTATGAAAAATGTATTTGGTTCTCATAACGCTGCTGGCAAAAAACTCCTTTTCTCTTAGAAAGGATAGAGAAAAAGATATGAGCGCTGCTTTTTTAAAATCTACATGAGACTATCAGAAGACAATCCAAACTGCAATTGTAGTGACCCACCATGGCACAAGCAGCAAGGATAACATTTTTCTCAACTCTAATGCAGTTCCCTGTTTTATATTAGAAGACCAAAACTCCATATTTTTTCTTCTGTTCAATACAGATTGTAATAGCAAGCAATTACTCCCACAAGTTCTGTGAACAATAAAGCGTACCAGCATTCTCTAAATATGCACACACACTACACAAAAGAAGTTGATGTGGTGCAGGTACACAGAATGACATAGAAACAAGGTGCATACAAGGAAGAACGAGAACAAGTCCTAAAACAATATGCAAAAGCAAAAGTAACAGTGATTTCCAGACTCAAAACAGTTACAGCACATTACAGAAAACTCACGCTCCACTGACTTCTCAGTCTCACTCTGCAAATTAAAACAGCGCTATTTGCGTGATCAGTTCTGACTTTCAGAATTTATCAGCAGATCTGTGCTACATTCACAAGTATATTTAACATAATATGCATACGTAAAAGAATAAATTGCATGCAGGTGGCAATTGTACTCTCTAGGTTGAAAGGCTCCCTCTTAGAGGTGGTTTTAGAAAAACAGTTAATAATCTCTCTTAGAATTTTCAGCTTTCATCTATCCAGCACAATACAATCTGACTAATAACACTCATTCCCTTATGATGCCTAGTTCTATCCTCCACAAAAGGGCTTTAAAAACCCTTATGCTGCAGTGAAGAATGGTACAGAAAATATCTCCTGAATTTACACAAACACATAGGTAGACATCACTGATAAAAAATCATTAGGTGAAAACTCAGAATCGCATCTGCAGAAATGCAGAACCAGTTCTTTGGGTATATAATCAGCTAACTGCATGCTAACAATTACATTAAAGATATCTAGGCATTCAAGAACTTTTTTCAGGCAACAACCATAACCACCTCTACTACAAGCCACAGTTTGATAAGCAATTCTTTCAGCAGCAGCAACGACAGCAGAAACAGCCCTTACCTCCTGCTCCTTGCCACATGCTCCCTCTGCATGTGCCACAGGCAGTCGTTTGCAGGACCACACAGTACAACAGACCAGAATTAAAAGTAATCAATAACCAAGGAAGAAAAGGCTCTCTGGAACCTGTGTCAGCTCCCTGATGCAGTCTCACAAACGGTTGTACTAGTACAACTCAGAGGGTAGCAGGGGGCTGCTTACGCAAGCACAGTTGTCTGAAGAACTGCACGCCAAATTTCTCCCTGAGGAAGCAATTGTGTTTGCATCAAAACATGTGAAAGATCTTCCCCCCTGTGCCCAATCTGTGGGATCCTGGCCCAGGAATACAGATCTGGAATGGATCCCCTGGGGGGTCTCCTACTCCCGTTGCAACAGCAGGCAAGTACCAACTGAGCAAATTCGGTCAGTCAGGAAATCCATTTTGTTAAGTCACTTGCTAGTTAAACGAGTATACAACTTACGATTGAAGTGAATTTACAACTTAGGGGGAAAAAAAAAAAAAAGGTTTCTTAGGTTTCTTCTCTCTACACAGTAGCTAGGTCAGTTTTGATAAAAACTTGTATAATAAAGTTGCACACTGCTATTTTTTTCTTTCGTGCCACTTCTGAACTGGAGTTTAAGGCAAAAGTTAATGATTAAATTGTAGTCATTAAATTGGAAGTATCTAAGGAAAGCCCTGAGAAACCTTCAATTAAAATGCAGCTGCTATTATACTGTTGTAAAAGCATATATAAAATATAATGCAAGGGAGAAATAGTATATAAAACAAAAAACCCCAAACCCCCAAATGCACAAAATAATGAGTAATATATAACTACACACAATTTGTATGAAAAGCTCATTGTTACAGTTAATGATATGAGGTGAGTAATAATATACCTCTATCCAAGGCATAACAGAATCACTCTGAGTAAAATGCAATCCTGTTGCACTTCATTAAGCTTCATGTTATCCTTGAATTTCCCAGTGCTAACGGAAATGTTTCTTCATTGCCTCTGCAGGAGCAGGCTTACAACAACAAACAGACTCAGCTACCCCAACCAGCTTGTTAACTTAATGAAATCAACTCCATCACAAGGCTTTCACGTAAAACCCAAATTCACCACAAATACCTAATTAACAACTAATATTTAGAGATATTAAACAGAACACTTAAAATAAATGAGTGGCAAATTAGCCAGAAAGTTCAAAATAAGGATAATACTCATTGTGTCTTCTGGTAGTTTTTTTTTCACTGAGCAGTTCCCTGAACTGTGTCAGCCTGTCCGTGAGCACGTTTCCTGTAAGGTCTGGTGGTGGTGTAGGCATGGGTCTAAGTATGTTATTTCGCACCTGGTTAAGCCCTGCAAGAGGCTAAGTATTCTCCCGGATATGAATTACATACACATCCTAGAAGAAGCATCAATGACATCTAGGATTGGGATCACTATGACTTTCCTAGCTTACTCTTTCTGCAGAAGACCACAGACCTTTCAGCCCTTCGTTGAACAGCCAGGGCCAGGGCTTTCAGAGCCGGCTGCGTGGGGAGCCAGCTCCAGGCACCCTGCCACAGCGCGTGCAAGGCCCAGGTAACAGCCAGGAGCACAGGCGCGTGGGCATCACCTACAGAGCAAAGCCTCACTCTTCCACAACAGGCAACAGCCACCTCTGAAGTGACTTCGAATAGGTATATTCTTCCCACTTACGAAACAGAAAAGAGAATTAAGTTCTCTGGTGTCACCTAGGAACTTGAAACTGCTTATTTTTCTTTAGCTGGCTGACTGGCATCTTGTCTAAGCAACAGCTTATATATATAGTTTCGCAATCATGTGGGTTTACTTACTTTCTTTTTTTTTTTTTTTAAATGCTTTGCAGCTCTAGAGTCCACGACGCAGGGAGCCCAAGAACGCAACCTCAGCTGAAACACCGCTGGAGCGCCGCAAGCCGCGGCCGCGCAGGACC